TTACCTGATATGTAGTACAAAGACTACTCACATAATATATTGTATTCTACCTCTTATTATTGTTTGATTCCGAGTCCACACACCTTTTGGCCTTCCTTCTAAAAGGATAGAGAACCCCTTCAAGTGGGGACTTAAAACTGTCTTTAAAAATACTTTGATAACCTATGAAGTTTAGCATTCCTGGATTTTGGTACTTGGTTTCAATGTGGCGTAGTTACTTTGAAACGATATATTATCTCTTGAACGATGAAACATACATATGAATAAGCATGTACTCTCGAAAGCATTTATAGCTACTTCCCAATGGGCATTACCTTTGTGCTTATTTATTTTTTCTTAAATGAACTTCATGATTAGGCTGATGATTCTGACATTGATTCCGCTGAACTAGACGACGAGGAGACGATCGCAAAAGAGGAAGAACTGGCAGCTCGTGAAGAGGCATTGGCTTCTCAGAGTAATGATTGCAAGATATCTGATCAGTCAGAGAGCAGGGCAGAAATTGAGCAACTTGCTTTGGAGGCGATGCAGCCGATCGAGGATCTCATCCCTCCTGGATACCTAGAGGCCCTGACTGCTGAGGGTGGCGGAAGCAGTGGTCTTGGCTCACTTGAAGAATCTACTCCGGTATCTCTAGTATCTCTTTCACCATCAGGGGAGGATCGACCAACCCCATGTAGCGATTTTGCTCCTAGCCAGAGTTTGGATAAGCCGGCAGTTTCACCCATGTTAACCCACCTCGCAAAGCAGCCTCAAGATCAAATTCCACAGCAGATATACTCTGACACACCTAATCAAGATACCAAGAATGAGGAACCTGTGGTTCCCACTCTGGTCAACTCATCTGAGCAAGTAAGTCTTCAATCCACTATCTACTCTGTCAATTGTTGCTTAAACGGCCCTTCTACAACTTATTCAGCTTGATTAGTGGAGTATACCAGTTAATTTAGCTGTGGCATCTCTGTGACACCTACTTTTGATACGGATGTGACATTTCATTTCCCCCTTCATTTTAACCTTTTATCCATTATGTAAGCACGTTTCAGGTACGTCTTCATTTTGCCTAATGATAACCATGACTTTTCTATAAGTTTAGAATGAGGC